GTTATAAGTTTAAACAACAACACTAAACCAAATCAGGTTGCAAAGCTTTAAGCTAAGCTCTCGGCCAAACCAGAAATTCTTCCAGCATTTGTTTAGTCACAAACCATTTTTTTTCTATGGTTAATTCCTGTATTTTGCACTTAATTTCACATGCACAACTGCTGAATTTAACTAGCTATCATATCCAGACCAGAAATCAGTTTGATAGCAACCAAATTGAACCAAGTTAAGCTGTAATAATTAAGCTAGGCTCTCGGCAGAATTTTCTTACCCCAAACTAACCCAGAAATTTATCTCTGCTTTAACACTTCATTCGAATGCCCAATTCATCATACATGGTCTTAATCTTCCAATTCTTACTCAGCTAAAGACATTTGGGTGTTCAGATTATCACACAAAACAAAATTGGAGCTGCAATAACACCTCAAGTCTCGGTAGCAACAATTTCTCAAAACAGAAATTTTCCTAAGGTTTTGATTTCAGCATCCGATTGTATAATCTAAACATGTAATCTCTGATATAGCTTGATCAACTAATAATCAACCTATTTTAGACCAGAAATTACCTCAGCTAGCAACCAATCTTTCACACGAAATTCCAGAAATTTCCTTCCTAGCTCTCGGCCAAGTGCAGATGGTGATTCTGGTTTGGAGTTGCGGCTGAAAAGGGTTGTGGATGAAGGTAGAATTGGTGAAGCTTCCGGCAGATTCCCTTCCCTGGCTTTGCTCCAACTCACGGCTGAATCCAAGAAGTTTCCGGCAGCTCTCTCCCTCTCTCGGTGCTCTCGGTCAAGGCAGGGAAGAAATGAGGTTTTGTTGTGAATCAAGAATGAAAGAGTAGAGTGGTATTTGGAGTGAAGTTGATTTCGACTTTGGTTTGTGCAGAGAAAGAGTCGGCTGAAATGGTTGTGAGATGTAGTGTGAATTTGATCAAGTGGTTTTGTGGTGCCGCGGTTTACGAAAGGTTGCGTATCGAATTGGTTAAAATGCAATTGGTCGAAGTTGCGGTGATGGGAATTTGTCATAAGGGTCGTTTGGTTTCGCATGGAATTGTAAGGTCTTTTGGTCTTTTCACTTGGTTTCCTAATCTCAACTTAATTTCTCAAATTTATCCTCAAGGGTGATTTGAACGCCTAATAACCCCTCCCAATATACTTAACCATTTTTATCGAATAAATATCGATTAAACTTAAATATTAAGGTTCCTAACATTATATAGCGATTAACTTAATTATCCGCATCTCCAATTGTTTATTCTCAAGAATTAAAGTTATCCTACACAAAATTTATCGAATTTTCATGCCTTAAGTATGTTTAGTATAGGAATATCATATTTATCTAAAATTCATTGATTTTTATCTTAACGCGGAAATTCCTATAAACATTTAACATTATTAACGATTAAAACTAGCTATCGGAAATCAAAGAATTTATTTTAAAGTAATAGAATTAATCCAACTCAAGAAATATTAATTTAGTATAGCAAAACCGAATAATTCAATATTGGCACAATTATATTATTTATTACATAGAAATTATCTTTACCCTTTTATTTCAAAACAATTAATTACAATACTAGAATTCAAAAAAATTAATTATTAGATCAATGAAATAGTTTACCATTGAAATATGAAGTTAATGTAACAAAACTAAGAAGTTTAGTAGTTTAGCACAATTCTTTTATTTTGCACATAACGTTTATTTCTACGTACTTACTTAAAAACAATTGGACTTAGTGCTAAAATTTATTAAAGAATTAAAATGCAAATAAAATATGCACTGATATTTATATGTCTATTTTCAGGGTTCTCACAAATCTCCTTTCAAATGCCCTTTTTGACAACAAAAATCACACATAATGGAAGAGTCCTTAACATGTACTGGTTTGACATATCTCAATCCATTTCTTCTATATGTAGTGAAACCATGTGCATTTTTGTTGCGTGCTAATGTTCTTTGATGAGCAGTAAGAAAGGTAGATGACATGTTCTTTTTGAGAAAATCTTGTTTTCTTGCTTTCAAAGTGTCATCCAAGTTGTCTATTCTTTTTTTCAAATCACCATGTCTTTCCTTCAGCATTCTACAAATATTTGTCTTTCTATCAAGCTCATTTTGAACATTAAATCCGGCTCTTACAAGACAATCATTGTCAGTCTTTAGTTGGTTATTTTGTTGAAGAAGACTTGTATTTTCATGAATGAGAAAAGTAATTTTCTATTTTAGCTGCTTGTTTTTATCATAAGATTCCTTCAAGGCATTATGCAGTTTTTCAACAAAGGATTCAAGATCATCATCTTCTTCATCATCACTTTCAGATTGAGAGTGTATGGAAGTTACCTCATTATCTCCAATAGCCATGAAGGCCATTTGAGCTGATTCTTCCTCTTCTTCAACTTCCCCTTCGGAGTTGCATTCATTCCAAGTAATCTGGAAGTTGTTGAATCTTGGCTTTCGATCAGCTTTCCCATCTTTCATTTTCTTCATGGGGCATTCGTTTGCATAGTGTCCAGGCTGTCCACATTCATAGCATTTGTCCACTAGCTTCTTGTTGAATTCTTGTTTTCCTTTGTTCCTTGCATTTGATGAATAATTTTGAAATTGATTGCTAGGTCCTCCCTTTCTAAACTTCCTTTTATTCAAGATTCTCTTGAAGCCTCTTGTGATGAGAGCAAGATCATTATCATCACCATCCGAGTCTTCATCATCCAAGTGAGCTGGATCATCTTCACTTTGAGTAGTCTTCAGAGCAATATTTCTCTTTGCTCTAGCATCCTCTTCCTCCTGCACTTTAGATTTCAGTTTCAACTCATAAGAGGTTAGTGAGTTAATGAGAGATTCAATAGGCACAGAATTTAAATCCTTAGCCTCCTCTATTGCAGTCACTTTATTTTCCCATTCTTTGCCCAATGCATTGAGAATTTTCCTGTTCTTCTCTCCCAAGGTGTACTCTTTGCCCAACACCTCGAGATCTTTGATCAAGTCATTGAACCTGCAATACATTTTGTCAATATCCTCAAGAGGTTCAATTTTAAATGATTCATACTTTGTGACCAAGATAGCCTTTTTCTGTTCTCTCACATTGTCACCACCCTCATGGATTTCTCTTAGCTTATCCCACATTTCTTTGGCCGATTTACAGCCTTTTACTCTAGTTGATTCATTTGAATCTAAGGCACTATACAGAACATTCATGGCTTTGGCATTCAATGTGAGATTAGTCATATCTTGAGCATTCATTTCAGCTCTTCTTTTTGGCCGAAGCAACCCTGTATCTGCATCAAGAAAGTTAGTTTCATGCGGTCCTTCACTCACAATAAACCATAGCTCAATATCAATAGATTGCAAAAAGATAATCATCCTTTCTTTCCAGCTAACATAATTGGAGCTACTGAACATGGGAGGCCTAGTAACAGATTGCCCCTCAACAAACATAGCATGACTGGTTGTCATCTTTACTCCAAGCCGTTAGAGCTTAATCTTTAGGAGACCAAGCTCTGATACCAATTGTAAGGCCCAAAGACAACCTAAGAGGGGGGTGAATTAGGTTGATTAAAATCTTAATCAAATTTATGCAATTTTTGCTTAATAAAATTTACCTTCTTTTCTAATAATGATCAATCAAATAGATTAGAAGAAGAGAGCAATATTGATTCGAAAAACAAGTATAGATAAGCAATGAGAGTTTTATTAAACAAAAAGAATAAGATAGAATATCAAACCGATTGTCTACCAAGCTTTCCTCAAACTTGAAGACCAATCACTAGGTTGAGCAACTTCTCTTTGATGAAAGATGATCAACTAGATGTACAATGGAGGGAGCACTTCCTCCTTGCCCTAAGCCTCACTTAGTCAAGCTAAGAAGTTTTACAATCACTCAGATAACCCTCAACAAAGCTACACTAATGAAACTTTCAACCACAAGAGAAAAGCTCACAAGAAATTCACACCACTTGGAGAACAAATCTAGCTTTGGAGACTATTTTCTAGCTAAAATAACTCTTGAGATCTTGTAAACAAAGTGTGCAAAAGTCCTCTTCTGAATCAGAATCGTTTGTATTTAAAGGGAGCCAAAAATGAGCTTCATTAATACTTCCAACGGATAGAAGGCAGATGAAGAGTCAGCTAGCCGTTGGAGCTGTCGGACGTCCGACGTCTTAGTCATCGTCCGATCCCATCGTCCGAAACTCAGTCAAGTTGTTGTTCGGACGTCCGATGGTATTTTATCGTCCGAGCTTCTGTGTCCGAACGTCGTCCAGAGAGTTATCAAATCTTCGTGGAATTTTTAGGACGTCCGATGAGATTGATGTGCGTCCGAAGCATGCGTCCGATCCTTCAGGACGTCCGATGCTTCCTTACGAGCGTCCGACAGAGTCTTGGCAGAGAGTCATCAACATTTTGTGGAATTTTTAGGACGTCCGACACGTTCGATGTGCGTCCGAGGAGTACGTCCGATCCATCCGGACGTCCGATGCTTTCTCACGAGCGTCCGACAGAATCTTCTTCTTAATGATCTTCATCCTTTCGGACGTCCGACCAATTCCTTAGGACGTCCGACATGAGTGTCCTATTTTTGCTTCTTCTTTTGGTTGATTTTCATTTCTTGACATATTCGTACCTGATTCTTTGATAGGCAAAAAACACTTATATTTGAAGAGAGTTAGATAAACATTTCAAAGTCCTTTGTGATCATCAAAACCAAGAATAACAGAGGAGTTGAAACCTATTCATTATATTTAAACAACAAATTATCCAAAATTCTACTAAAAAACCAAATCAAAAATCATAAACCTATTAACAAATATTAAACCTTTAAAACATCACACAAATTCACTAAAATCAATCCAAAGTCTACATTAAGTCATGTTAAAGAAAGAAGTAACATGTTAGAGGGACCAAATCGATTAGTTTTTCCAATTTTATAGGCCATAGTAGCGTTAGACATCAATTAAGGGGTTAAAGTATAATTTCTTGAACATTTTCCATGCAAAAATGCATGCAAAGCTACGAATGAACAAGCTTCTGCAACAACAACAAAAAACTTTCAGGAAAACATATAAAGCTGGGAACTTTCTTCTTCCCTCAACTAAAAAACTTTGGCAGCCTTTGAAAAGAATGTGTAAATAGCACAGTATATATAAAACTGTACATTTTATTGCATTTCAAAATAAAGATCAAACTTAATAGCATGTTACTTGTTAAACAAGATGTGTCTTCAAAAGTCACTTGATTGAAAACTATTTACAAAAACATGGTTAAAAAAAAAACACATGTATGAATGATTTTCATGGATTTTAACCAAAGACAACCCCCCAAATTTATCAAAAATTCCCTTCAAGAGGGAGGAATCTCACTAATTCTAATCCTTCCAGGATTCTCAACTTTCCCTACTGGGGATAAATGCCTCAAAAGTGGTGTCCTTGTGTTCGGAAAAGGGATTCATATTCGTACTTGTTCCTGACTCCCATTTTTCTTTAAAATTATGTCCCCAGCGTCAATCATGTCTTGGATCTTATGCCTTAGTGCCTGACAATTTCTGGTAGAGTGGCCAGGATTTCCAGAATGATGTGCACAAATGGCCTGAGGATCATAGCCAGCAGGCTTGCCCCTAGAGTAGGTTTGAGGAGGCACCATGCCAATTTTACCAGCAGCCTTGAGTTGCTCGTATAATTGATCGATAGATCGACCCAGGTTGGTGAAAGTTCGATATGGGTTTGGTTTTCGGATTTTTCTGTTTAGAGGACAAGTTCGGTTGTTTTGGCTGAACAGGTCTTGGATTATAAGGAGAACGAGGTCGAGTTTGAAGATTGGGTTGAGAAATTTGAAAGGGTGGTGTGGGTACATTTGGATAGTTTGGTCGAGGTCGAGGATGGTTAATGGTAGTATGGTAGATAGGACGGGAGTTTGGGTAATATGGGTAGGGTGATGAATAAGTGAGGCGGTTCGAAAATCTAGGTCTGGTCAAGGGGCCCTGATCCCACACAAAAGCAGTTTCCCCTTCTTTTTCCTTAAATTGGGACTCCTTCCCACTGTTATTCTGGCCTTGCAGAGCTTCCAGTTGCATCTTTAATGTTGACACATTAACAATTTTTCCGGCCTTCACTAACTCATCAAATTCTTCCAATTTGTTAACAATGGCCGCAAATGAGCATCCAGTCATGCGAAAAATCTCCTCAAAGTACGGTGGATCCTGGGCTTTAATAAATGTACGGACAATTTCCTCTTCTGTCATTGGAGGTTCCACCTTGGCCGCCAATCTTCGCCATCGTTTGGCATATGTCTTATGATTTTTAGATGGTTCCCTTTTAGTACTCTCAAGTGTGGTTCTCGTTGGCGCCAGCTCACAGTTGTATTCATATTGCCTTACGAATGCTGTGGACAAGTCCAACCAAGTTCTCATCTCCTCCGGCTTTAAATTGGAATACCAATCCAGGGCATCGCCTTCCAAGCTCTCGGGGAATAAACGTATTGGCAAATTTTCATCATGGATTGGTTTTCCCAACTTATTTGCAAATAGTCTTAAATGCGTCTTGGGGTTACCGGTTCCATCATACTTACTAAATTTGGGCATTTTAAAACCCAAAGGCCATTGCATGTCTGGGAAAAGACATAACTCATCATAACCCAATCCTCCAACCTTGCTCAATCTTTGATTTTTTCTCATGAATTCATCAAATTTATCCAATCTTTTCAACAGATTTTTGTCTATTGGGGCGAAGGATTCACCCATTTCCACCTTCCCTTGGGCAACATCCAACATGAAAGGCTCAGTGGTGGTATGATGAGGTATTTGAGAGTCTGGACAATTCTGAGGCATTTGAATACTGGCCGAGTTGACTTGGATGTTATGGGGGTAAGTAGATGGAAAACTAGAAGCGGGGTAAGTGAAAGTCTCTTCGGGTACGTTTGTCAAGGATGGTACAAAGGTAACTTGGGTATGGGGCAGAAGAGGTGTTTGGTGTTCTATTTCAGGTTGATTGATAGACATGGGGTTGTGTTGGATACCGCCACTGCTAGCAACCAGTTGGTCAATCATGCGCCTTTGGGTTGCCATTTCTTCACTCAATTCACTGAATTTGTTTAACATCTCGCTCAACTGAATTCCCAGATTTGCAGCGTCTATTGGGGGTACCGTGGCTGATCTATCAGATGATTTCGGAAATGCGCTCATGTTTACACGATTTCTCAAAGCTTGGCTATGTGATCGTGTAATGATAGGGCTTTGTAGCTATATTTACGATTACCTGAAAATTTAGGAAAAAATCCTATTTAAATTCCCTTTCTGATTAACTGTTGTTAAAGAAAAAGAAAAAGACATGAGTTAGTAACAATCAAAGTAATTCGGATGCATGTCCTATTGGGGGACCCTTTTTGTGCCAAGGGTAGGCCTATCATGATGTAATCCTCTGAGGTAGGCACTGTACCATACCTGATGGATCCGATCAACTCATTGACAGTTGGTTGGAAAGCAATTTGAAAATTTTGGGCCAATTGAACAGCGGGAGACCTCTAAATGAATGAATGGTTTTGATTGGCACAGGAATTCGTACAAATCAATTTAATTTTGACGAACTTGATATTGAATTTTTTTTTTAACATGGATCGAAACCCTAATCTATCCAAACGAAATGAATGCAATGGGTGATTTTCTCAAAAACAACTAGTCGTTCCAGTTCTAAATTTGACATCGAAACCCTAATGTTTTCAAATGGATCAGATGAAATTGATGAACTATTCGAAATTGACTAGATCACCCTATAAAAAGGTAAACTGGTCAAATGAATTGAATGAAATTGGATAATTTATTCAAAATTGACTGGATCACCCTAAAAAGGGTAAATTGATCAACTGAAAGAAATTGATAATTTAATCAAATTTGACTAGATTGTCCTAAAAATGAATGAATGGCTTGAGTTAGTGATTTATTGTTGAATGAATTGATCAAATGGAGTCAATGATTTATTCCAAAATGAGGAATTTGTTCAAAAATGACTAGATTGTCTTAAAAATGAATGAATTAAAAATGGATTGGATGAATTTGATGGTTTATTTGAAAATCGATTGAATTGTCTATCCATTGATAGTTTCAAAAAAAATTCATTGTGATATATCAGTCTATGAGACTTCTAAAATCAAGATTTGGCCCCAATATATTTGTCATCTCAACAATGAGGAGTTACTTGTGGATTTTTTCAAATTAATGTCCTTTTACGCAAGGGATTTTACCAATTATGTTAAAAATGGCCAAAAGATGATTGTTAGATGCTCATATTCTAATGTGCAAAAGTTGTTTTATTATCATGAAAAAGATCGGATCCTACCTTATCTCGTACACCACTCCTTCGGACGGTACAAAAAATATAAACATGCAAATCTCATTGGATTACTGATCCGAGACACGAGGTGGTTTATTCCTATCGTGGGATCCCCTAAATGGCATTCCCTCTAAGGTTTATGCGTGATGCCAATTTATCAAAGAAATTAAATATGCAATTTAAATGACCTAAGGAACCCTTTGTATGCCAAGGTAGGCCTAGAATGATATGCCATTATTAATTTATAAATGCAATGCATTGAAATTTAAACGTGTCAAAACAGGATGGCTCCTAAAGAGTACCATACTAGGACTCTTATTTTCTAAGGCTCTTGAATGCAGTAAAAAGAAACAAAGAAAGGTTAGTTCAATCACATAACACATAGAAGCAATACAAAACATTAAATAATGAAAAAAAGGTGGGATCCCTTCCCTCGTGAATTGTGTCCCTAATAGGGTAAGGCAGATTCTACCCTAGGTAAACTATCATGGATGCATGAGGTATTGGCTCACTAATGCATCTAGACTCGATAAGATCAGGTCCCCAAGCCTTCAGACTCGTGGCCAAGGGTCATCAATTCCAAGGCCCTTTGCCGGTGGCTCGAGCGATTCCCCAAACACCGCTATGCACACATCGTGTCACGGCTACGTGTTTGAGTGAATCTATCAAATAATCCTCAACTTTCGACCATAAGCAGAAGGCTATCAACCCAAAGCTTAAAGCGGAAAATTGAGTAATCCCTCAGATCATGCTACGCACACATCGTGTCACAATCACATGTCCAAATAGGTCGCCTAATCCTAATAGGGTGGAGTGGCGTGACAAACCACTAAAAAAATAAATGAGGGTTTAAAGTAAAGCATATGCACGTATGAAAGTGTTCCCTTTGGAGGGGAGGGATTATAATACCATCAAAATGCGGTCGACGGCTCTAGGGTAACTCCCCCCCCCCAAGATGCAAACGCGATACAAGTAAAAGTAAATAAATAAATAAACCATCCATTCATTACATACACAAAGTGCGAGGAGTGATTACGCGCGTGGTAGATGTAGGAAAAACCCTAAAAAAGAAAAATGCAACCCTAAATCTCCAAATGTGATATATAGAAAAGTAAAAAAGAAGAAAAGGTTTGACTAAGTCAACATGCTGGGACTCTCTAAGTCCCCAGTGGAGTCGCCAACTGTTTCATTCCCTTTTTTAGCCGTCACCCTATCTTACTTCCTAGCCCTCACTTTTTTTCACTCAGCCGCCCAACTCACTTCTTTCTTACTCTCAATCTCCTCTTTTTCTGGTTTTTCTCTCCCGCGTTCTTCTTTTTTTTTTCTACTCTGCTTACCCTCAACTCCGAACCCCCTGGCTTGCTGTTTTTCATCCTCTCTCTTCTAAAACCTCTCTCAGCCGTCACCAGATTCCCCCCTCCAAAACCTCTCTCATTTGCCTTTTAAACCCTCCAACCCTTGGCTGGACGATGCGGATGAACTCCTATTTCATCTGATTTCAGAACCGTTAGATGGTTCTTGATGCCCAAGACAAAATGAGTTTTCTAGATTAAAGCCAAATGGCTTGTACTACAGCAATCCAACGGAGCTAACAAATGAGAGAAAATGATGAGAAAAAAAATGGAGAAAAACGCAGCTGCGATCTTCTGTTTCTGTTTCTCAGCTCGTACGTTGTAAAATGTTGGTTTTGTTTGCAGCTCACGCTTCTCCCTTCCTCTTTTTTTTTAATTTAATTAATAATGAAGTAATTTTAACAACAAAATAGAAATAAAACAAGATTAACCAAATTAAATGAAATGCTAAAAAAAATTTTGATTTTGATTGATGATTTTTCCTTGATCTAGGTAAATAAACAACAAATTTTCATAAATTGAATCTAAAAGAATTAAAGCCTATTTTTGTGAACAATTTTCTTTGCCGATAAATTTTAATGCTACAAATGTCTAAAAGCAAAATCATGAGATTAATAAATAAAAATAGATAATAATAATTATCAATAATAAAAATAAAAATAGAAATAAATTAAAAAATAAATTAAAAATTTGGTGTCTACATCAACTATACTTGTAATTAAATTATATTTATTCTCGTAGTTATGAAATTAGTTACAAGTTAATTACCTCTATGAAATTACTTGAAACAAGTCATCAAAGTCACAAAGGTGCACCTCTACTCTCGTGAGTGTACTCCCTAAGGTTAGCACTTCTTGAACTAGTGTTGAATTTCAATTATTATTACAAACGTAACACCTTAAGATTCTCACAATTAATGGCTGGTTAATCATGATTAGATAAACAAAAGTGATAAATAATTTTCTCAAAATAACACCATCATATAACCAAATAAATATTGCTAACAAGATATAGAAAGTTCATCCATAACTCTAGACATAAACTTTAGCAAAACATGAAAACAAACACCAAACTTGTATTATAGTTAAATATGAACTCAAATGCAAAAGAAAAAGTGATAGGAGAGAAGTCACCCTTGTCACATGAGATCTAATTCTCCATCTTTGCTCCTCAAATCTTCATCCAAATATAACTATAACTATAAGAAAGATAAACTACTCTAATTATACTATACTAATGAACTAAGAAAAACTGGTGAAGACTATATTTTGATTGTGTCTCTACTCTTCCAAAGTTGTTCCATAAGCTCTCCAAAGGCCTCTATTTATAGAGATTCAAGATCAAGATGAGTTGTTTCTAGTTGGCATTTTTTGTCTCTTGAAATCTCCAAAGGTTGTTTCTACAAGATTCTATACTTGTTTACTCATATCCAACCAGAATTCTTGTAGAAAAATTGATCAAAAAACTTGTGTGAACAGAGAACAAGTTGCAGCGCAATTAAAGAATATGCAGGCTTGAAAATGCACCCTTGGTCACGTATTAACCCCCCCCCCCGGTTACACCTTATTGCATGTTTGCTTATTTTTTGTCAGTTTTCAACTTAGCTCTGTTTTTGCATCAATTTCAACTGATATTTTCTCAATGATGGAGGCTAAACTAGCTCTTATGTAGTTCTTTGAATTAGCTTTCCAATGCATTAAGTAACATTCAATTTGGAGTTCTGTAGATTTAGAACTGACCAAAATACCCTTGCCTTCTCAATCCCCTGTTTCAACTTTTGACAACAGAAATAACCAACTGTATTTCGACATTTTGACTTAGAAAACTCATGAACTGGATTTCAATATCTCCAGAAGAAATGTAGATCTATGTGAAAATGGCGTACGAATCACCTCAATTTGATACTTGTGGTTTAAGATATAGCGAAAATACCAACAGGTGTCAAAGCTAGAAAACACCATTTCTTTTACACTTGCTTGCATTTCATCTCTTGAGTATTTGGCACTTCATATTCTCGTAAAATCATTTCATATTATCAACAATCATCCAATTATCTTCTCACTTAACTCCATTTGATGATTGAATCATTAAACCTATAAAAATATGAAGTTGCCGCCACTTTAAAATTCATAGAAATTCAATTTTTGACACTTAAACCATAAAAAACATTTCTTCACTAGAAACTTAGTTAATTTGTTATAAAAATAGATAAAAACACACCAAAACTAGACAATAAAACACACTTAAACACACAAAATATGCACTTATCAAGTTCAAGATGTATATAATAATTAAATTCAATCCACAGTCGAGTTTTATATTTATAAAATCTTAAATACCCCACACATGATTTTTCGCAAGTATACGAGTGGTGATTGAGTATAGGATATTAAGGGTCAAATCCACGAGAAAGATTGTCAATTACTGAAGATTTTTTCAAACTTTTTTATTATTTAGACTATCATAAGTGCTAGATATTAAATCTACACTAATAACATGTGATA